TCTCTAGCATCTGGGCCAGGGCCCCGACTAGCTCTGCGCCCCCCAGCGCCCTCCCCTCCAGCGCTTTCCTCGCTCTTCAGGCCTAGGGGCTGCACAGCCTGTCTCAGACCCCAGCCATCGCCCCACGTCCTGTCCCCCACCCTTTGTCCTGGGCCCCTGCGGCCGTCACTTCCTGCCCGGGAAAAAATGAGCGAAAACAACAGCAAGAATCTTCTCGCTAAGTGTTTGGGACGGTGAGGTTTCCTCCTATTTGGGTGTCTCTGGCCCCGGTTCAAACTCTGACGTTTCTAGCCCTGGGACTTTGCTTGGTCTGGTGCTTTGACTTCTAAGGCTCATTTTCCTTCTCTGCAGGGCTGGAGAAACCCTCTTGGGAGGAGCAGGGTGAATCCAAACTCAGACTCTCCAGCGGTGGGCACCGGGTACAGAGCTCTGCCCCGAGGTGGAGGTGTTGAGGGGGCCAGAAAGGGACTTGTCTCAGCGAGTTCTGAAATATTTCAACACCCAAGAAGTAAACACAATGCACAAGATACACAACTGAGAGGGGGATTTTGGAAAACTGGTTTGTTGAGTTCTTTGGGCTATAAAAGATCCCTTCCTGTTGGCTGTGACCATGACCCTGCCCAGGACAGAGCCTGGCCTCAGAGGAGCCCTAGGCTGTGTGGGAACCTGCCACCTTCCAGGGACAGTCAGGCAGGGACAGAAGCACATGCCCCACACCGTGCCAGACACTCGACCAGTATGTCCATGTAGATTAAAAGTTATCCCAAGCCTGGTGTGGTGGTGTACACCTCTAATCCCAGCATTCTGGCACGCTGAAGTAGGAGGAAGACAAGTTCAAACCCAGCCTGGGCATTTTAGCTACTTAAAGGAGACCCTGTGTCAAACTTAAAATTTATCAAAAGGGCTGTGGATGCAGCTCACACAGTTTGAAGGCCCTGTGTTCAATCTACAAGGAGTGGGGTTATGTATTATCCTAGTCAGGCAGGACAGAGTACACCTGCACACCAGGTACTCGGAAAGCAGAGGCAGGAGAATTTGCTTGAAGCCAAAATAAGCCTGGAAAACATAGCAAGATCCTGTAAGAAAACAAAACAAAACCAGACCAGACCAAACCAAGCCTTGGGGAGCGCACAAAACCACCACACCAAACCACGCCTTGGGGAGCGCCAGAAAACACACACACACACACACACACACACACACACACACACACACTCACACTCACACCAAGCAAAACGAAAAGTTACCTAGTGTTATCAACCCTCTGATTGTCAGCCCCCACTGGATCAAATAAGGAACTGAGCCCAGACTTATAAAGAGCATGTTGTTGGCCAGCAGAAGAGGAAGGCTGTCACCAGCACTTGGCACATTGTCTCATTTTTAATCAGTATATAAAATTGAGAACAGAGAAAGATTATGTTGTGGCAGTTAGTCAACGAAAAGTTACCTAGTGTTATCAACCCTCTGATTGTCAGCCCCCACTGGATCAAATAAGGAACTGAGCCCAGACTTATAAAGAGCATGTTGTTGGCCAGCAGAAGAGGAAGGCTGTCACCAGCACTTGGCACATTGTCTCATTTTTAATCAGTATATAAAATTGAGAACAGAGAAAGATTATGTTGTGGCAGTTAGTCCCAGAGATGGCACTGACAACTGCCTCCCACCGTGTACATGAAAGCTGGCTGTTCTGTCCCAGAGCCCAGCACATGCTTAGCCCATGTGAGGGCCTGGCATCTACCCCCAGTACCACACATGCTGGGGAGCCTGGCTCCCCCTCTGGTCCTGGCAGAAGTGGTGCTGTGACCACTCAGAGCCCCACAGCTCCAGGACTTGTGAGATAGAAATTCTCCGGGAGAGAAACAACTCCTAGACTTCGATGAGTCTACCCTGGGTCTTTCGGCCCCAGCCACAAGACCTTCATCCAAGGTACAAAAGAGCTTCCCAGTCAGTTTACAAAACTGAGAAGTAATCAAGTGTCATCAGAAGCCATTAGAAGTTGGTATACTTGTTACTCGGCCATCACTGTAGCTGATACAACTTCAGCCAGAAGTGTATGATTTTCTTTTAGTCACTGGCCTCTGCTCTCATCCCCCTTTACTAGCTGCTTTTCATGTCTTTGCCCTTAAAGTATTGGGCACCCTGCAGCTCTGTCCCCAGCTCTTCCTTCCCCTAGCCCTAGAGACAACAGCCAGCTAGCTCTCTGAGCTCCAGCTCTTGGGTAGGTATCAGTATACCAGTCGGTAACTGTAGCTGGGACCTTACCTGCCACTCACAGCCCCTATTTACATGTGCAGTCACCATTTGGAGTGCATCTATACCAAGTCCCCTCCAGGTCAAGGGACAAAAGATACAGTTCCTGTGGTCAGGCAGGTACTCTTGTCACCCAGGGCTCCTCCTTTGTGTGTACTGTCACCTGTCAGCAGATCTCAGAGGCCTGACTCAGACTATCAACGGCACCTGACACCCCCCATCCTACCCCTTCCCATCCCATCCACACCCAGCTCCTTTTTGATTACTCAGAAGGCTCCCAAGGGCTTCCACTCTGCCCTGCATCCTTACCAGCACCCGCAAGGCTCCTTTAACACATAGGTCAGGCTGAGCCGCAGCTCTCTGATGAGCACCGGCCTAGCATGTGCCAGGCCCTGGGTGCTATCCTCAGTGCTGCAAAAGAACAAAGGCCAGATGAAGCTGTCCTGCAGCTCACAGCAATCCAGAGACTCCAGAGTTCCCCAAGAGGACAGGCCTCACCCTCATCCTGGCACAAGGACGCATCCTCGGGCCTTGGGCTTCAAGGTCCCCCAGGCTCAAGCCCATCTGGCACCTTGCAGAGCAGCAGAATGTGGGCCCCATCTCAGCCTGTTGCAACAGAGCCTGCATTTAACCCATCCCTAGGAGACCTGTGTGCACATTTGAACCTCAGAAGTACCCCTGGCCAAGCAGAGGCACTTGAACACTTGTCATCCCAGCTAACTGGGGAGGCTAGGCAGGAGACTCACTTGAACACAGGAGTCAGACCAACCTGAGTGACACAGCAAGACCCCATCTTGAAACGAAAAAGAAGCATGGTCCTTCCTTATTCCACCTCCCCACTCCAGGACCCCATCTCCCATCATCTCCCCTACTTCAACTCAGGTTCTAGCTACTCAGGCCTCATCCTGCCCCTCCAAATTCAGGCACTCAGCCCCAGGACCTTAGCACGTGCTGTCCTTCTGCCAAGAGTCTCTGCCCTAGAGCTTCACAACCCCCTAACTCTTTCAGGTCTCTCCAAATATCTCTTAACCAAGAAGGCCTCTCTGCTGCCTCTCCGAAGCCCAGCGTCAGATCTCAACCCTAGTCCCAGCCCTCAGTTTTTTTCCATGCAAGTATTTGCTCTTTGTTTTCTTGTTCCTCCTAGCAGGAAGGAGCTCTTTGAGAGAATCTGCAGCACTGGGCTTGGCATGACTGCATCCCAGTGTGTAGTGAGCGCTCTGTAGGAGTTTGTCAGATTAATGAGAAAGACATAAACAGAAGGCACCATGGTGTAGCCTGGGCCATCGGTGATGCCGTCTCTTTCCATCACCTTTGTTTTCTAAGCCTCCATACTTTTGTAATCACAAAAGTACACCGCATGATTTCTTTTTCCTCTTTTGGGGCTGGGGCTGGAATCCAGGGCAGTGCACAAGTCGAGCATGAAGTCCACCCGAGTTGTGCCCTTCCCCCAACGGTCCTCCTCTAACATCTGGAAATGTGTCCTCTTCAGACTGGATAAAGAGAAGCAGCTGTGTGCACATAGAACATTTCAGAGCCAACCAAGTGGTGTGGAGTTTCACTTTCTGTTGCCTGACACTGCTCTGGAGTCTACACTGAGGCCAAGGTCATCCCTGCTGCCACCCTCTGGCAGCCAATAATTAGCACTCCCAGCACTAGAAGAAAGTACCCCATGGCCTGGTCCCCAGGGTCCCCACCTGGCAGTGCGGTCACCTTTTCCTCCCAGAGGACCCACGGGGGAGGTTTCTGGGGGGATCCGGGCTGCTCTTCCATCTCAGGACTGATGCTCCTGGCCCAGGTGACTCCAGTACCACTGAACACAGAGACAGAGGCTGCTGGCCTCACTTTGCTTGGCAAACAAGCTCGGAGTCACCAGGCAGGCAGTCTGAGAGGGGAGAGGACACTGCCTATGGGGGAGTTGATTCAGGGCTCAGTCTACTGACTCCCTTTGTCTTCCCCTTCATCACTGCTGCCCCGCATGACTCGGAAAGGTGGGCACACAGGTGTTTCCGAGGGTGGAAGGAACTTACTGGATCATTTCCAATCCTAGAATGGGGCAGCAGACCAGTGGGCAGAGTGGAGAGGGTGGGGGCAGCAGGGAAGGACAGAGGACGGCAGGGGCACAGCACAAAGCAGATCAGTCATTGCAGAGTTGCTGGCTTTGAAAGTGGCTCCAGGGACGGGACAGCAGAGAGACAGCTGGTGGCTTCCCTTAGTGCCTGCCTTTCCCTTCAAGCCAGCATCCTGTGGGTTGACACTGGCCTGTGGGAAGTGGTCTGCACTCTCTCTGAACCTGAGGTCTCTGAAGGTCAAATGAGCAGCCCTGCTTTAGTTTGGCAACATGCACTTGTCAGGGTGAGTATTCCCATCTTCATTTTTAGCCTGGTTGATACAAGAGCTCAGTCTCTAGCAGTGGCCTCCTGTTGTATGATTTATCTAACATAAAACACAGTGGGCGTGAGGCTGCACGCCTGTAATCCCAGCACTCAGGCGG